TCAAGGCAGAGGATGGGGGTAGTGTCGCAGTCACAAGAGAAGTTGACGAAAGTGCCAAGAGTAACGAAGAGGAAGGTAATGCTTGCTTTCCTGGGCCGAGACTCGCCAGCCAGCTCTCATTTGGAATTTCCTTTTCCAGCCCTGCAATTAGAGATCCAGGTGCAGATCATAGTACAGTTCCCTGTACAGCCCCAGGCGCAGTTACATGTGCACTTCCAGGTGTAGCACCAGGCGCAGCTGCATGTGCAGTTCTAGGAGCAGTTCCGGGCGTAGTTACATGTGCAGGTCCAGGGGTTGTTCCAGGGGTTGTTCCAGGTACAGTTGCAGGTACAGTTCCAGGTACAGTTCCAGGTACAGTTCCAGGTACAGTTCCAGGTACAGTTCCAGGTACAGTTCCAGGTACAGTTCCAGGTACACTTTCAGGAGCAGTTCCAATTACAGTTCAAGGCGCAGGTCCAGGAGCAGTTCCAGGTGCAGTTGGAGGTCCAGTTTCAGGCGCAGTTATAGGTGCAGTTCTAGATGCAGTCTCAGGTGTCGTTCCTGGTACAGTTGGAGGTTCAGTTTCAGGTTTGGTTCCAGGTACAGCTCTAGAAACGGGTTCTGGTCAGAGTATCCCATGCAGCCAGGAGAGTGTTGGCGGTCTAGGCCAACTTTTTAGTTCCTCCAGCACCCATGGCTCTTTGTGTCCTCCAGCTAATAGCAACTCTCTTCCCTCCTGTTCCCACTCCACATGTCATGCTATGCTGCCAACCATGTCAGGGTTGCCGGAATCACATCGCGTGCAGTTTCTGAGGCCGAATCTAACGTGCAATTTGGTGTTAGGCGCGTCATCATCAGTCTCGAGGAAGGATGCATCTGTTAGTGTGCTCAATGGCGAACAGGGCAGGCTCGCCTGCAGAGCAGATACGGGTGAGGGGGATCGTTCACTACCCCCACAGGGTCACAGACAAACAATGCATACAGCACCATATCCAACACCCCAGGTGCATTTGCAGTCGGCTAACACCCCAGACACCTTGAACAGCTCAGCAGCAGGCTTGCAAGAATGTGCAGCGTTTAGACATATAGGCAGCTCAACGTTTCCTGCATCAAGTGCCCTACACAAATCAAATCTGGGAAGGAGAGAGGAGGAATCTGGTCAACAACGGCCACTGGTGCTGAGGTTCGACCCTTTTGCAGGCGAGAATGGGATGTTCTACCGCATTCGACAAGAAGGGGAAGAAGGAGAGGAAAGAGGAGGAGGAGGAGGAGGAGGAGGAGGAGACAAAGAAGGAGAACGGAGAGGAAGGGAAGGAGTACAACTAGTAGGTGGTGGCAACGGAGATGCTGAGAAAGATCAAGCAGAGGTGTCAGTATTACATGATACTACATGTCCGGACAACATGAAGAAGATGGGTAATGCGGTGGTCAACGGTGGTCATCGAGGAGGTGGCCGTCATGGTTGCCATGCGGTTGATGGGAGTGGCGGTTTCTGGACCAGCCCCATCAATCCCCACTCACATGAGAATCTCCATGATGATGGTGGTAAGTTTGGCAAAAAAGATTTTGCTGCCACCATCACCAACAGTAACATCAGCACTGCTACAACTACTAACCCGCGTCCGGTTCCTGAAGCTTGTCACCCCATCCTTGTCACAGCAGGCGCAAACGGAAGAAACACAGATCCAGAAAGAACGCGTGGCGGGTCTCTTGGCATCAATGGTTTCTCTGCCAATCACGCGTCAACATATCCTGTGGTGATGAATGGCGATAACGAGGGGAAGAGGTGGAGGGAGAACAATGAGGGGAAAGGACTCGGGAAGACTTTTCGTGGACGTGGAGTGGCTGCTCTTGGAGCGAAGCCAGAGGAGGTCCCTGGGTGCAAAGATGAAGAGCGCTTGGGCAACAGCGGTGACAATGGCAAGCTTTTGCAATTTGCTGCATGTGTTGAAAATAGTCAGTATAACAATGCCTGTGAAACTCTTTCTCTGCTGAAGATGGACGGATCAAGAAAAAATGACTCAGACGACAGTGAGAATAACATTTCCAGACGTATTCGTAAATTAGTTGCAGATTTGAAAGACGTTGATAACATGATGGTTCGCATGGAGAACAAGAGTGGAGATCGAAAAGGAAAAGAAACAGAATTTGTGATCAGGGATCGTCATTCTGAAGCACTCCCAGTTCCCTGCAGTGTGAGCAATGGCAAGGTTGATCTTCCGAATGGGAATGTTGCCCCGGTCCTTGGCTCGCTGAGTATGGATGAGTGCGGCCAGCCGGAGGGATTACCGCAACAGCTTGGCAAAAACTGCCACAGCTGCCGGTGCATGCAAACTAATGTGCCTGAGCAGAGGCATCCAAGAATATTTCAGGCAGAGGATGGTTGTCGCGGTACCAGCAATGCGATAATCGGCAGCATCCAGCAGGTTGACGCAGATAGCAGAGTCATGGATGAAGACGAGGGTTGGGATGATATCAGGGGCGCACACAGACGAAGCGGTGTTGCCACGACCAAGAAAAGGACAAGGCGAACATGGTGGGACAAAGGGATCACAAGGGGGAGGGTGGAGGGATCAATGGAAGAGGTGGTGAGGATGATCGGAGAGGTAGTGGGGACTGGGAACGCTGCAGACTTTGAGTGGGACAGAGAGCAAGGCAGGGATTCCGCTGCTCCTCGAAAGATAACAGTTAATATGGGGCCAACCCACAAAGTGATGAAAATATGTCCAGGAACAAAGAAGGAGGCAGCTGCACTTGCAGTGGGTAGAAAAGAGGGAAGAATGACAGCAAATAGAAAACAGCAGGAGAGAGGCAAGTATGCACATTTGGATGAAAGCTTTGCTGGGTTTGTGCGACAGGTGCACGCCCACAAGAGAAAGGAAATCCATGAAGAGAGAGCAAAACAGATAGTCAGGACAACGGTTGGCCCCTCTCTTCAGGGAAACCCTTATGATCTTTCGCTCCTCGATCTTGTGGATGAGCTTGAGGAGTTGGAGCAGAAACATGGAAATCGTAGAAGGCACTCAGGGCTGAGATGACGGGATGTGGCGTTGTGGTTCCCGCTCCTCAGTGATGGCAAAGGGCCAAGCTGCAGAGGCTTGACAAATGGCCAAGCTGCCGAGGCTGCACGCACGTCCTGATTGAATGAAGCCCGGCGGGAAAGTTCGCTCCGTTATCTCTGTCTTTCGGACAGTAGACTCAAGGCAAAATGTGTACATAATAAGTCAAGGATTTCCTTCTGTAACGATCAACGAGGAAGTTGTGCCTAGCAGGATTTGACGGATGACAGGTTCACTGCTGCATTTGACATAATAATTCTTGAATCATTTTTTGCTTCTTTGTCATCGCTAGAAGGGAAGGTTGCCCTGTTGTATGTGGCGGATGCATGTGCAAGGAACCCGACTGTTCATCACTTGCTGGAGTGCATCAGATCACATGCATATACAGAGATTTCACAGATTGCAATGTCTCACACAAAGCTCAATAGTAGTTGAATGAGAGCCAGTAAGCTCCACTCAATTATCATAACCAGATTAAGAGAGGAAATTTTGAGTCCAAAATGTATAGCACCGAACGAAGTTACAAGTCTTCTGCAGTCAACATGAGCTCCAGGCCTGGCGCTCATCAGCACCAGCTGCCAAACGTCAACAACATCGCTCAACAGGTAAGTATCACCATAGCTCACTCCTCCCCCTCTCTTGTCTGCTTTCTTCTCTCTCTCCTTCTATGTCTATAGTCCTGGTCTACTCACACTCACCTTGCATGCACACTCCTTATCACACGAGGATCTACTCTGAATACTACTCACTGGACTCTTCTGCTAACTATCCCTACTAATGTTCTGACTGGCGCTGGTGCAGCTATGACTGCCTTTCTTCCAGCCAGCGCCCCACTTCACTTTCTCACACTTAGCGTTTCTCACAGCCTGGTGCAGCTCACACACATCTGGCGCACAAGTGCCACAGCACTTCCACACCCTCATGTGAAACGAGCTTCTGGGAGGCTGGCCAGTCCTTTATAGTGCTGGATTGGTCTGGTGCCTGGGACTCCAGCCCAGTACCTATTGTTGCAAAGTGTGTGTCCCAGTATCCTTTCCCATTGTCTGCTGCTGCTTTTGGACGTCGGCCTGTCTTTTGGACTTCTGCTCTGAATCAGGGCTGACCCGTGGGACTGTGACTGAACAGGGACTATGGCCTTTGACTTAATGTCAAACAGACATGACTCTATCTCAGCCTTGAAGTCTGTGTTCAGTACCTGTTCGTCTAGGACCTGTCCGTGACTGTTCAAAACGACTTTTCACTTCTTTCTGGATGCAACATATAACTCAGGAACTTGTCTTTTGGAATGTTGCTCGTGAAATTGAGTTCTGGCCGAGAGGCCCCTTTATGTTGGAATCACAATTACGGGTCTAAAGGCCCTTTTACATATGAGAGGTGGTGCATACATTACAATGGTAGTAGCATCATTACCCATGACTTAAAGGGCCAGCACCTCCTGGAGTATCTCTCGACACCAGATACCACGTCTGACGCGCCTTTGATCAAGCTTACTCATTCAGCATGCAAATCAGGTTTCACAGCCGACCATCAGTAACCTGTGACTCGTTGGCTGCCGACCAGCTGACGGATCAAGCGGTGGTTGCCACAAGGCTGTGGGGTTCACACAAGCACACACACACACACCTGCCATATGATGAGAGACTGTCACGATCAGCCTCAGGGCAGGGGGGGAGGTTGCAACAATGGAAAAGAGTAGAGTTAGAAAAATAGAGAATGGTCCTCTCCCCTACCCTGGTGCTAATAGGAAAAGAATGAGTTTGATGAATTTCCAGTCATGGCAACTGGAGTTTCAAGAAGCCTCCTGAAAAGCTTGGCGGCTTGGATGTCTCTCATTGTTGTACTCGCCGGTTATGGCCATTCAAGACGACATGGCCCAGGCCCACTCTGTGCAGTCTAGTTTGGCCCAAACTTAACACAGGGCAATGGGCAGGTGCTTGACTTGGAAATTTCCCCTATGTGGGAGATGAGACTGTGCCGTAGAAGACTCTAGGGGCAACAGGATGCAAGAAGGGATGGTGTTCACTGAGGGGGAGATCAACCTTAGAGCAGGGAATAGGTTGCAAAAACAAAGCCAAATTTCTATCGGTCGGTCTGCATATGTTTACGTTGTGGTTGAAGCCCCATGGGCTGTAATTCTTCCAGACTCCCGACCTTATTCATGCTGCCCTCTTACAAGTTATAGCCTGATTGGGGCTGGCTCTATACCACCACTGCTCCCACACCTTTGGGGAAAAAAAAAAAAAAAAAACAGAACCTTGCGGTTCTGGCTCCTTTCCGTTCTGGGGAGCATCGGTCCGGTTCCTATTCCACCGGCAACTTCGGCGGCAAGTCAGCAAAGGTTACAATAGATACTCATGCACGCTCCTCCCCATTACGGTTGGGAGGCCCAATTGGACGGCATTGATTACTTTCCGAGGGAAGGATGTACATTGTACAACCCCTCACCCCTGCCTAAGTTTGCCTACTTGACGTACTTCTGACCTTGGTTGTTAGTCTGACTTCCACTTCTTCTATTTGCTAATTGTGGCTTACTTACGAGAGCCTTGTCCAGCTTGTTCCTCTCAGCTACTTGGCTGTCAGATTTGCATTAAGTACTGGAACTGTTAGCTTGGCTACTTGCTGCCCCATTTGTTAAAACCCTAAACCCTAGCGGGCCTAGCTGAAGTTTTAAGTCCTACTCTATCTCTAAGACCTTTTCTGCTCTTTCGTGCAGCCTGTACTCAATACTTCTTTATTTCCCTTTAATCGATCAAATTCTTTTCGGAATCGAACTGGTATGCTATTCACTGAGAGAATGTCTCCTTGGTCCACCTGTTCTCCTTCTTCCCATAGTGTGAAGACAAGGCTCTTTCCCTTAACACTCACGACCTTACCCTTTGCTAGAAAGTGTGCTCCTCAATTTATGTTGGTGTTCCTTGGCCATGTCCTCTTCGGTTTGCATCTTTCTCTTTACTTTACGCCACAAGAGTCTGACAAGACCCATAACTCTGTTTCTACTTGTGGCTGGATCAGACCCCATGCTTCTTGAATGTGCATTTGTGTCTTGTCTAGTGTTTCTTAGGATGTTGTCCACAGTGCGGCTTTCCTTAGGTAAGGAAAGAGATCAGTCGTGAGGGGTGGCCACTCTTTGGGGTTGGAAAGTCCTAGGAGTAACAGAGTAGGGTTGGCCTTGAACTCTAATGAGGATATTCTTTCCCATCATCTGACTATCTTCTCCCATAGGGGCTTTATCCTGGGACAGAATAGGAAACAGTGGAATAGGTCTTCTATCTGTCCAGTTGGCACAAAGCTCTTTAATCACGCTTCCTTCCTCTCTTCTTCTTCTTCTTCTGACATTTGACCAGGGGTTTAAGGGAACCACTAGGTATATAATTAGGTACTGTAGACTTCTGAATTTGGATGGGTGAATTGCTGTAATTTGGTTCCATGGTGTTTGGCCACGGGCCTCTGGTGCTACTTCGAGGTGTTTCCACCAGCGCTCAGCTATTACCTGTTCTGGTGCTGTGGACCGTCTCCTCAATCTGTAGCCTAGACGTGTTGTAGAGCTCAGTAAGTTATATTTTTGGTTGATTCTGGAGGTTGCTTGCTTTAGGTTCCACGCCCAATCAGCCAGGTCTACTTCCAGGTTTTCTAGTTCAGTTTGCGGGCATCATTTTTTATTTATTATTATTATTTTTTGGACCATTTCTCGATTTATGCATGTCATCCTTGCGCAGGGGTCATGCTAATCTTGTCTGTATCGTTCCAATTGTAACAGATGTCCCAAAGGACTCAATTCATCATTTTCTATTATTATTACTCTTATTTCTCTAAGATTAATTTCCCTGTGTCTAAGATTAATTTCCCTGTGTCTTGTCCTTCGGAACATCCGTTAAAATTGGAACGATACAGAGAAGATTAGCATGGCCCCTGCGCAAGGATGACACACATAAATTGAGAAATGGTGCAAATTAAAATAATAAAAAATCCCTGTGTCTTAGTTGGATTGGATGTCCAGAGATATGCTGCCGCTCTTCTTCTCAATAAGGAGGCTGTCTGTGCTGGCCGGGAGGCACCACCGAGTATGTCGGGCCTGTGCTGGATAATGTGTAGCACTTGGGCCAGGCAGGGGAGAGGCAGCAAGGGCAGGCATGAAGGAGGGAGCTAGGGAGGCGTCCTACTGTGGTCAAATGGTGAAGCTGTGGAAGGACATCTTCCCAGCCGAAGTAAGGGAACCGCGCACAAGGGAAGAGGTACTCCGCCGGCCGCTGTTCTGCAACCCAAGCATCAACGACACACAAGGAAAACCACTAACGCTCTCAGCCAAGGATACTAAGTGAGGGAAGTGGGAAGAACATGGAGTACGGCAGATCAAGCACCTCTGGGCAGAAGATGAAAAGCGGTGGAAGACAGCCAGAAAGCTCAGGGCGGAACTGAAGGGAAGACACAGACTATTAGAGAACCTCAATGATCTGCTGGTGGCCATACCACAAGAGTGGACAGAGCTGCTGCAGAAGGTAACTCAGTGGGGCCTGGGTGACTGAGCTACATGGCAGCGCGAGAATGAACCAAGGGAAGCCTTCAGGATCTTGAGCCAGCACTACTAGTCAACTGGACCAGGACTCCAAAACACTGATAACCATTCAAAAGGAACCCTGCGCAAAGTAAGAGTAGTAGAGAAGGAAGTATACACAGTCTTCAGCCCAACTACACCAGTGGAGGACTTGGAAGTTGACCCAGGGGACTAGAGGGGGAAGAATGGGAGTGACGAGAAGGATCAACATCTTACACTACACTCGAATAGGATATAGACTGAGAAGGATATCTTATCCTTTGACGGCGCCATTGTCCAAGTGCTGGGAGATTCAACAGGGTTGTAGTGCCGCCGGGCCAGCTACCCAAAATACCATGGGCACAGATTAACACGTACGTATGGGTAGCATGCAGTGGCTAATAGCTCATGTGGCACTCCCAGTGACCGCATGGCTAAATGAGAATTGAACTCAGGACCAGAGGGATCCAGTCAATGCGTTGTTCACAGTCTGCTGAGCCCAGAGACAATGCCACACTGCCGCTTGGAATGCGCAAAAGCGAACAGTGAATGGGAGGAAGCCAAGCCCATCTG